GCTGCTGCTGCTGCGGCTGCCGCTGCTGCTGCCGCTGCTGCTGCCGCTGCTGCTGCTGCTGCTGCTGCTGCTGCAGTTGGTCATGATAGCAACACGCTGCAGCAATTGAACAAGCCATGCCACAGGCAGGGCTACGCATTCCGTCCACTTGAAGACGGAATGACCGAGCAGGAGGTCTCATCCATACACCCGGCAGCAGGACGGAGCATTCCTGTTCCTGCGGCGAATGTGATCGTTACAAGATTGACCAGTTTTTGGACAACCAGTCAAACGTGAGAAGAACCTGGTTTAGGCATAATGTTTGGGCGGCAACATTCCCTCTCATGTCTTCAAATCAAGGGGGCATTCTGCCCTGGTTTGGATGATGCGCATTGCTTGAGACTGGCTTCAGGCCCGACCTTTAAGGATTTCACAGAGAAGCATGGCCCGCTCCTCGCTGAACTGATCCGGGCCGCTCGGCCAAGGAGCATGAACAACAAAGGACACATTGAAGAATTGCTTTATTATACAGTACGTACAATGTTTTGTACTAGTGATTGAAAGTAGTCTGAGAAATTATATCATGAATCATGACTCGCATATGGATGCTTTGTTTAGTATACCATTCCTGAAGGGCTACAAGTACTGTGGCCACACTTTCCACAAAAAACCTGGCCGAGGCAGAAGAGCCCATCGTTGTCGTGGCGGACTTCGCCAGTGGCGCTGGCCTCCTTCAGGCTTTGTCTTTGTGATTCGCGAACATGCGTTTTTAGTTTCAGCAAGGACCGCCAAGAACAGCCCGGTGCACTCGTCCTAGTAACCTATGGACCAGGGTTGCCACAAGGAGAAGGTGGGGACATGGGCTCATCCCACCTCTGCTGCAGGCTCCGAAGATGAAGGTACCACTGGTCATCAATGTGCCGATGCCTGCCAGCTTACTGAAGCAACCTCGCTCCAATATGGCATAAACGGAGGCACTGGTAGAAGGCACGACCGCTGCATGTCGTAAGGTGCATTGCGGGACACTCAGGACCGTGCTTTTGCTGACCAACCCTTTCATTAGTGCTTTCGCCCGAAGATGGCACCATGGGGCACCTCATCTTTATTTGGCGATGTTCTTTTGGTCTGCCGGTCTGCCACGTGCGGGAAAGCAGACCATCTGACAGCAGAGTCTAGCAGATTCGGTGCCAAGGGAGCAGGGCTCGGGGTTGGGTCCTGAGCTTTGCACAGGCATCTGAACGAAGTTGGAGCATTGCTTCAGCTCTTAAAGTCTCCGGAATTCATTTTCAGAGCTCTTTTGTCGCGCTTTCGTGATACGATGTCCGACCTCCTTTTTCCTGGTAAGCTGTGCCTTGATCAAAGGAAGGCTCCCAGCCCAGACAAGGCTGCTCTTCGGTTCTCGTAGCTGGTTCAGAAACACTGCAGCCATGGCCTCATTCCCACGATGCAGGACTCGTGTTCAACGGGCTATCCATTGTTAACCTTCCTGTAGACCCCGGGTTGCAGAAAAAAACACTCGGGTTCAAATTCAATCCGCCAAAACCATTGTTTGCATTCTCCCTTTGTTCGAGTGCCACGCGTTTGCAATGCACGTTCTCGCACATGCACAGGCGGTTGAACAAGCACAAGAAGCTTTTTCGGAATAATGCTTCAGTCTTGACGACCACCACCAAGCCAAGGACAGGTTTGCCATCGAGTACCTGAGTGATATCGGAATGCCAGCAGTGAAGTCCACGACCAGCAGCATGCCAGTCAAACAGAAAAGCGCTAGGCCATTTAGGCGCTGGCGGATGGCTTCAGTATCTCAACCAACTCCTCTCCAGGAGGCTAGGACCAGCTGAGGCATTGTGAACAGCTCGCCCGCCGTGGATCCTTGGCTTTACATTCACAGGCAGCGTTTTGAGAAGAAAGCCTTGTCTTGGGGGCGGACCTCCAGTTGGTGCATATTTCAGCCGGTTTGCAAAAGCCTCGGCTCCATAGGATTTGCTGGATGCTGCTGCTACTACAGAAGCAAAGGACAAGCAGAACGGGAAACAGAGAACCTTTCTCAGATCATGACATCGTGAAGAGGATGCCAACAACCTGGTGTATTGGAGAGACCTGTGAGCGTTGCAAAAACATGGTAGTTTCCCATGCCGAACACACAGGGACTACGCAAAGTACAGATCGGAAAGAATTGCCATGCAGAGTATCCCATCATTTGCTGCACGGTGTTCGCTGTCAAGTGGAGGTCCACACCACAGCCTTGTCCTGACTCGCCTTCACCACTCCGGCTCCACCAGCCACTACTGACCCCATGCACCAACACATCCATCTATAAGTTAGTAGCATGTGCACATGCAACGCGTGACAACCTGGAAGGTCACGAAACCTTGTGGAGTCTGTCATGCTGCACGCTCTTTTGCGTTCAGGTGTTTCAAAACCGCGCGCACACGCAGAGACACATTTGCGCCTGGGATCCCCCGAAGGAGCTAGCTTTTGTTCTTGAAAAGATTGTCCAAAACCAAGAACTCAGTTTCCTCCCATTTCTCTTTCTCCGCAGTGGCATCCGCAAAGAAGCCAGCACGCCCTAGTCTTGCTTGAGCCAAAATTCAACCCCACAAAGCCCTGCTCGCCTGCCGCATTGGATGATGATGTTCTGGACGCACACACCGCCGGATCCCTCATAACGCCCAGACTTCTGTCCATAACTCCTCAGGCCAGCAGACACAGGTACCGCAAGAATGGACACGCTGCATCCCCCGAACTCCGCGATGTTCTCCGACTCAACAGTCGAGCGCTACGATGGTGCAGCACAACACGGCCAAGAAACGTTATGAGTCAACACCGTAGGGGGGGTTGCACGGACCTAGGCTTTTCTCGCTGGATTCGATCGCCTGTTAACTGTTAGGCTTGCGACTCCCACTGGGTTTAAGAGCTTCGCGTGCTTCAGGTTCACATTCGTCGATTCTTCGCGGCAAACATGTGATGGTGTTTACGTCACTCGGTACTTCTGCCACCGGAAAGGCATCTGTGCAAGGAAATGTGTGGAAAGCATGTTCCCAAGCACCGAACACGACCGTGCAGGAATCATGCCGATGCAGCTTCCGAAGACTTAGACGCTTCCGGGTTCATAAAGGACGCACATGCTAAGTCCGTAATTGCCGGAAGCTGTCAGGAGCTGACGGGGAAGACATCACTGTGTGGGTGCCGCCGCCGGCCGGCTCGCTCTGCAAGTGCCGGCTTAAAGCAGCA